AGCAGCAACTATTAGAAATAAATTTGAAATGAATAGAAATATTTGAGAAAAATTGTACTATCTTGTATACATGAATGTAATTTGAGAAAATGTTTCTGTGTACACTATCTGGAAAGACACTTAAATTTAGTTCTGTGAGGCTTAGATTGAAGTATAAAAACTACAAAATGCTTTGAATATTATAGAGGTCTGTTATGTTTTTTGCTTTGTATCATGCATGTGTTTTTGTTTTTGCATTTGCACAATCTATGCTGAGATGAAAGAGTACATTATTGGGATAGTATATACATGCTAACTCAATACAGAGTTTGCTAAGTTTTGTATAATGCTGATTTTAAATGAACATGATATGTGAAATAAAGTTGCAGGCTTTGGAAAAGAATAGAATTACAAACATATTAATCCATTCAGTCATACTCTGACACCACGTTCATTTTGTCTTTTAATTACTCTGTGTCTTAGCTATTTTACAAGACATATCAAGGGTTGATTGACTTCTATTTGAAGATATTAAAGGTCATTCTGTCCAATCTCCTTTCAAATTCAATTCTGCAAGATAAAGGAATGAAAGATAGAATAGAAAATGCCTCTTTTAGAAAATTCAGATATTAAGTGAAAAATTAAGGCAACATGGAATAAGCTTGCCAAGAGTAGAAAATATTGAACCAGACCAATAAAAGAAGGCAAGAGAAAAACTTGTCTTCTCATATCTAGATCAGAATGAGGGGAGCACAAAAAATTTAAAATTAGGCATTACTTCTGGAAGAGCCATTATTCTTTACAGAAATTGAAGTGTTTGGATGGATAGGCAAGTAAGTAAGGAGATGCCATTAAGCCATAATAATCATAGAGGCATGACATAGGGAAATAAGCTGGGAAAGAGCCCACTGAAACACTGAAACATTCTAACCTTGCACAAAATCTGCTGTGAGGTAGCAGGATGGAGCATGCACAGCCTTGCAGTTTCAGCCTGGCTGTTGAATAGAAAAAAATGCCAGCAGGCCTGGGAAAGAAAAGTGAGAAACAAGGATCCTGGTTAAAACCTCAAAGAGAGAAATTTGGAAACCATAGCAAAAATGTTCAAGCTGTGCCATTACAGTTCATTGACCTGTACTCTTTCAAACATTTCTACATATAACTGATCATGGAAAATAGCTTTTATTCAGTGAAACCCAGAATGTACTGGCCAAAGCAGTACGCCAAAATGTTTCAAATCAAAAAGCCATGTTATGACCTGGATCTAAATGTTCCCCCAAAGCCTCATGTGCTCATAGGTGAGGGTTTTCAGTGCTGGCTGGATCTAGGGTATGTGAATACAGATTAAGGGTGTATGGTACTAGGTTAGTCCACTGGTTGGTTTAACATGGTTCTGGGTATGGATGATGGGAAGCCCCACCCTTGGTATAGGTGGCACCACCCAAAAGGCTTGTAGCCTGGATGGAGTAAAAGAGAAAGGGAGGCTTGCTGCTGCTGCCTGCTGCTTTCTGCCTACCCTGCCATGGACTGTTTCTCCTCTCTGATGCTTCTCTTTCACACCATCCTGCTTTGGAGCCAGGTTACTATGGACTGAAACCTCTATGATCTGTAAGCTGAAATAAACCTTTCTTTGTTTAACTTGTGTGAGTTGGACATTTTGTTTCAGCAATGTGAAAAGTAACTAAGACAAGCCAGGAGTGAACAAACAAAATTATTCTACATATTGGATTCTATTGTGAAAACCAACAGTGCAAACAAGGAATAATTAAAACTATGCCCTCTATGAAATAATTGCTCAAAATTGATGTTAGATTAAAACTGAGCAACCTAAATCTGATGGGTGATGGAGTAAGCAAGAAAAAGAAAACAAATAATGAAAATTAGTTAGCATATCCCAAAAAAGGATCATTGGTCAAAGGATTGAAAACACACAAAATCAAATTATAAATGAATAACGAGTATAAAGAAATAGAATGATTACAAAAAGTAAGAACTAATGAATCAGTGTTGGTAGAAAACAGAATAAATGAATCTAGAAAAATTCAAATATATAGTCAAAGAAAAACATTTAAACAAAAGAGGACCTGCATTATCACCTGAAAAGAATCCACACTGTCCCAACTGAGGAAAAAGATTCTTTATACTAGGCCATCCCTGAGTTATTGAACTTCAAAAAAAATTTAAGAAAATTTAAGTTAAAAATGAGTTACTTGGAAAAGAGATCAAAAGTAATTTGGATATTAACCAACACTTATCAGAATAAGGTTAACAAATATTTTCTCCCATCCCTTAGATTATCTCTTCACTCTGTTGATTGTTCTCTTGGCTGTGTGTGAGCTTTGTAGTTTGATATAACCGAACTTATTTTGTTTTTGTTGCCTATGCTTTCTGTTTCATATCCCAAAAAACATTTCTCAGTCAAATGTCAGTGAGCTTATCCCTATTCTTGGTTCTAGCAGCTTTATAGTTTGAAGGCTTATGCTTTTAATACATTTTGAGTTGGTTTTTGTGTCTGGTGTGAGATAAAGGTCTAATTTCATTTTTCTGTGTATGAATATTTAGTTTTCTGAACATCATTTATTGTAGTAACTATCCTTTGCCTATTGTTGCTTAAATCAATTTATCATAAATGTAAGAATTTATTTCTGGGCTTTTCATTCTCTTCTGGTCATCTACGCCTGTTGTTATATGTGTACAATACTGCTTTGACTATTATAACTTTGTATTAGATTTTAAAAGCAGGTAATATGATCTCTCAAAGGTTTTTATTATACTCAACATTGCCTTGGGTTTTGGAGTCTTTTCTGGTTTCTATATGAATCTTTTTTGCTTCTACTGTATCAGGAGTGTGATTGAAATTTTGATAAGTATTACATGAATCTTTAGTTCATTTTGGGTACTATGATCATTTGAAAATGTTAAATCTTTTGAAGAAAGAATATGGACTATCTTTACATTTATATAGAGTTTTCATTAGCATTTTACAATATTCAGTTGATAGATATTTCATCTCCGTAAAAATCTATTCTTATAATTTTGTGCTTTTTGGAACTGCTGCAAATAGGATTACTTTCTTAATTTTTTTGTTTCTTCTCTTTTGGTAACAATGGGGATGTTTTTATTATCCATTTGCTTTTAGTCTATGTCTGTCCTTAAAACTAAAGTAAATGTATTTATTTATTTATTTATTTATTTCTCTTTGGCCTTTTTGAGACAGGGTCTCATTATGCAGTGCAGACTGACCTTGAAGTCACTAGGTAACCGAGGGTGGCCTCTTCTTCTGCTATTTAATTTTTTTCAGTAGTAGTACCCATTGGTTGCTTTTTATTTAACTCTTATGGATATCTACTACAAATTTTTTAATAATTGATATGAGACTTACACAAACATTGTATAGTTACATGGTCTATTTTAAATTAATAATGACAAATTTGATTTCTTAACTTCTATACCGCATTTAATGCTATTGATGTACAGTTTACATTTCACATTCTACACTCATTAACATTTACTGCAGCTATGTTGCTTTTAATACTTTCATCTATTTTTTGCATTCGACTTAATGATTTACCCAACACCATTATAGCATTCAAGTTTTTGAAACTTTCCTATATACTTTCTATGTTAGTCACTTTTCTGTTATGTGACAAAATGCCTGTAATGCGAAACTTTAAAAGAGAACATGGTTTATTTCAATTGACAATTTGGAGATTTCATTCCACAGTCAGTTGGCTTTGTTGCTTTGGGGGCCTGAATTGGGGCAGGATATATGGTAGAGATGTGTTCCAGAGGAAGCTACTCACCTCATGGCAGCCAGGATGTAAAGAAAGAAAGAGAGGGAAGGGAAAGAGGGGAAGGGAAGGGGAACAGAAAGCACAGGGGGAAAGGGGAGGGAGAGAAGGAGAAAGAGACAGAGATGGAGATAATGGAGAGAGGAGAGAGACAGAGATGGACAGAGACAAAGAGAAAGAGTCCTATTTAAGATCACACCCAAGCACCTCAGGCCTCCCATCAGCTTCTACCTTTTAATGGTTCCACCTCCTCCCAAAATCTCTATTCTGGGGATCAAGCCTTTAACATGCAGGCATTTAGGGAGCATCCAAGATCCTAACTGAAGCCTTCACTTTACCAGTGAGGTTTATATAAGATTTTTAAATATGTTTAGCAATCTTTCATTTCAAATTTAATTCTCCTTAACATTTCTTGCAATTTAGCAATTTAGTTTTAGTGCTGATGAAATTCTTCAGATCTTTTTAGTTTTTTATTATATACCAGTTAAAAAAATCTCAAGTTTCTTCTGGTATATTATTATTAGTTAAAAAGAAGTTTTTATTTGTTCATTTGTTTTGCTTTACTTTTCATTAAGTAATTTCAGTATTCCTGAACTGCAAGTATTCTTCAGAGAAACCCACCACTTGTCTTATAAATGTTCCTTGGTATGTTATATATTGTTTTTCTCTTTCTGCTATCAAAATTTTTTTCTCTTTGGTTTTTAAAGTGTTTATTACAGTGTGTCTTGGTGAGGATCTCTTTATGTTTTAATCCATCTGTAATGTCTTAGGCTTCATAGAAATGGATGTTTATTTTTCCCTTCCAGAACTGGGAAATTCTGTTGTTATTTACTTTTAATGAGCTTTTTAAATTCTTTCTCTTTCTCTCCACTTTCTGGAATTCCAGTAATGTATACATAGATTTGCCATAAGCTGCATAGGTTGTCTGTACTTTTTAAAATTCAATATTCTCTTGTTCCTCTGACTAAATAATTTGAAATAAATTATCTTCCAATTCACCAATTATTCTGCTTCATTGAATCAGTTCTTTAATGAATAGCTATTAAATATAAAGATCTTGACTAGTGACCCCATCTTGAAGCTAGCCCATCTAGTTTCACTCTTCTTATTTGCTCTGAGGGGAAAAGTTTTAGGATTATGGACTTCTAATCCCTCTAAGGAACTCCTGGTGCAGAGAGTGTTCATTTTATTTTCACTTCGACAGTATCCTGAAGTGTTCAAGATTCCGTGCCTTCTATCAAACCAACAGATTCAAGCGAGCTGCTAAGATCTGCACCTGTTACTGAGAATATTCCTCTGAAGGAGTGGGGAATTGTGCATCAGCATACATCAGCTGGTTGGATATGTCTGCAGGTGAGTTATCTTACAGGATTCATGGGCAAGCTTCTATTTTATGGGGTCCACATGCCAAGTAATAGGACCTGCAACCATGTTGAGAACCATGGGATGATTACCATGGCTTCTACCCTTCTCCTTGCTCCTAGGTATCCTCGGACAATACAGCTGTTCTGAGAAGCATTTATTCCACTATTCATTCTTTCTGGTTTTTGGCTATTGCAAGTAAAGGTTTTATCAATGTTTTTATTTCCTTCCTTTGGTAGACATATGCACTCATTTTTCTTGAGCATATACCTCAAAGTAGCATTTCTGGTTTGTTTGTTTTTTTAGTATTAGTATCACCAATTGTGTTTCCAATGTGACTATACCAGTGTTCATGGTCACCAGCAATGTAAGGAAATTTTACCTGCAACAGAAACCCTTGTCAGCATTTGATATTGACACAGTTTTTATTTAGTCATTGATGATTACCTGTAGATGTTTCTTGTGGTCTCCTTTTCATTTTTCTGATTCCATATTATTTTTAAAATATTTTATGTAATTATTGCCTGTCTCTCTTAATGGATTCTTTTGTGAAATATCTCAAATCTTTTGTCCATTTTAAGTGGATTACAGATATCTTATTGATTTGTAGTTCTTCATATAATTTGAATGTAAGTCCTTTAAGTATGTATTGTATATGTTCTAAACCTTGTCCTCCTTACAATCCCCTTGATGGCTTTTGATGACCAGAAAGATTTAAATTTAACCAAGCTTATTGTATTTATATATTAATGTCTAACTACCCACCATAAAAGTTAATTGATTAAAACGTTTCATTATTTATTTAAAATTTTGCAATTTGGAGAGACATAGCAGTTTCTGATAGTTCTACTACTTATGTGGTATCTTAAATCTCATAGCACAAAAGCAGAACAATAGCAGTTTCCCTACATTTAATTGTTCAGAGCCCAACACAGCATGATAATTGTGCAAGGACACAGGTGCAAAGATTTTCAGTATAGCCGTATCTATATTAGCAAAATCCAGGAAATAGGTCACATGGCCATTAATATCAGAGTAATTTTGCCTACACATTTCTGTGTACATGCAGGATGAAAATTAAACGGTCATAATAAAAACAAGATGAGAATCACAGTAGAATTTCAAAATAATCCAACATCCTCAAGCAATAATAAACTACTCTGTGAGAATTTATTTAAATGGCCTCCAGAAACTTTATAGATATCTTTTATGATAGTGCATAGATGAACCAGAGTCTATATAACTTTGGGGTGGAAGTAAAAATAAATCAAACTTTGCTTACATTGTGCACATTTAATGAAAAGTACCACCTGGCCTTAGAATCTGTATGTCACATTGTTTCTCGTGAAAATTAATGAGTACACGAAGAGATATTTATGTGAAGGGATATTTTTGAAAGATTCATGGGAGCTATTTATTGATTCTTAAAAATAAAAACAATAATCTTGGAGTTCTGATGTCAGCTTCCAGCTTCTAAGAATGTAGTGTAAGTAGTTGCCAGTCTTAAAGCTTTTCTTGTTGTACTTTTCATCTTTCTCTTCCTTGTACACAATTATGTTTACTCAATTTGTCATTATATTCATTTTTATTAAAATGTCATGTCATTTTTAACTGTAGATCATACAAGGAAGCTTTATGTCCTATCATAGACTGTAATTACTACTTTACACCTGATTTCTGAATCAATCTCAAATGTCAGCTCTGTTAAAATCATAAAACACTTGTTTTTCTCTGTGCACTGTAGAATTTTCCAATGACTATATTGTTTCAAAAGTTTTGTCATTTAAGATGGGTGTTAGCTCAAGGGCATATAAGTGATTTTTTAAAAAATATAGTACACCTGAAATTTGACTTGATATTAAATGAAATTGTTGAAAGTGTAGATTTGAAAGTAAATGAAAGTCATACATTTAGCCTGGAGCTGGGCTAATAGGCAAGCCAGGGAAGAAATGCCTGCTGTGGACATTTGCCTTTAGGCAAAATCTTTTGTTACAGCTGCTGCCCACACAGCTGAGCTGCCACCAGCTCTATGAGCAGTGATAATGTGTTTAGTATTGGCTGCCTACCTCTCTTCTCTGGCCCTCCCTCTAGAGCTGGATGGGAAAAATAAAGTGATAGCCTTAAGAAAAATGTTCACATTCTTCTGCTTTCAACTTTAGAAACTCTGAGCTAGCACCTAGAGGTGGCAGAGATTTTGATTAGAAGTTAAGGAAGAAATCAATACTTTGGGATTCCTGTGATCCTTTGTGATTGCAATAACATTGCATTCACTTGGTTTATGATGAATAAAGTCATTGCTGCTGTGAATCAGAAAAATCTAGACTCAAAAAAGCCAGACCTAAATTACGACATAGAGTCAAACGCAAAATGAGTTTTTACTTTTTAACCTTATTTGACATTTTATTTATTGTAGTGCACATATTGAATATGAAAACATAAATGCCACATCTCTTCACTAAAAACAACCTGTGCTAGCCCCATACTGATATAAAGGACCTGAGTGAAATAGCAATATTGCTATTTAATCACAGAAACTGAGTGTTTTGATGCTGCTTTTGTTATTTATGAGGACAACAATCCGGTTTATACTTTGCTACTCTGTACTGCAGATATGGAAAATGATGTTGAGAACTGATGAAAATAGTAAAATATGGATAAAATAAATTGTGAACTAGCTCTGAACAAAATATACAAAGACAAACGAAATAGGAGGAGCTTCATGAATATATAGAGCATCATAAAGGTATTTATGGAATTAATTGCCTTGTTCTGAAATGTATAATCTTGTGTAAGCATGTTACTGAAGTAAGTAACAAAGACGTTCCTCAAGGAATAAGTGTAAATATTGAAATCAGAGAGTCAGTCTATAAAATAGAGCACGTATAATAGGCAATACAAATTATCTTCCATTTTAACTCTCAACAGTGTATGTCCTTTTAGCTTCTTTTTATTTCATAAGGATAACCTATTAGGTGAAGACTTTAAAAACCAAAAATTATAAAACAAAATCTATTTCAGCAGTATGTTCAATACTGTATACATACTGACAAATTGTCCCTCGCCTACTACTTTCATAATCATGCAGTTAACATCCATTATTTTCCTCTTAATAAAAAGAATTCTATAATAAAGTTAGAATGGAGCCAGAGTAAATAAATAACCTATGTTAAAACATAACCATATTTGGCTTTACTCTAAAAAAAATCTTTATTTTAATTCAAGTCCTGCATTACCAAGGAGAGGTGGCAGAACCGGCTGTATCTAACAGAGGTTTTGAAGATCTGAAGATTAATGGAGAAATAATTCACAGAAACTCCAGAATAGCAGTTTTCAATCTGGCCTGTGCTTTGGAAATCACCAGTCTTTGTCAGCTCAAGCTGTGGTAGTGAAATAGCCAGACTGGGTGACTTAAGCAAAAGAAAGTTACTTCACTAGATCTGGAGGCCAGAAAGTCGAAGGTCAAGGTACTAGCAAGGTAAGTTTCTTTCTGAGGTCTCATCACTCCGTATGCTCTTTGCAGGCAAAAGGAGGGGAAGCAAGAGCTAATCACACCATGAGGGTCTAGCTCGCAGGACCTCATGGAACCCTAATTACCTCCCAAAGGCCTGACTCTGACAACACGCATTGGAGGTTACCGCTGCAGCATATCAATTTGGGGCATATAAAACCATGCAGCCCATACTGTAACCTGAGCAGCTTTTAAAACAAGCCAATCAGCCATCTTAAAGCCGAATACTTGAGTCCCTTCCTCAGATATGGTGACTTCATTGTTCTGGAAGTAAGCTGTACAAAAGAATTCTAATAATCTCCTCAAGGTACTGTGATATTTAGTCAGGTTGAGAACTCCTCGGTCTACAGCAGAAAGACAACATTCTTATGCATTATTAATACAACTTCTTTCCATTGAGTCATATGCCTTTCTTATTTTATTCTTTTGCATTTTTGACTCAACATATTTTTTACAAAAATATTACAAGAATAGTAAAAAGTCCCATATACACTTTACTCAGATTGTCCAAGTGTTAATACATCACCACATTTGCACTATTCTTTCTGTTCCTCCCTATGTAGACACACACACATACACACACACACACACCCTGAGGGCAGAGAAAGACACTAATATATTCAGATGTGATTTTCCCTTTACACTTAAAAACAACAAGACCATTTTTTACATAAAGGCAGTAGAAATGTCAAAATAAGAAATTCACACCAGTATTGAATGAGTTCAGAACTCATTGTCCATAATTTGGCAGAGGAATTATATGAGCTGAATGCACTTTAAAAGAACAGCAAGTACAAGATCACTCTGAGTTCCTTTCTCTTTCTGTTTCTTAAAACAACAGACAAAATTATCATGGGAAAAATGTCCTCCCTATGCGAGAGAGAATCATACTTATCATCAAGAAAGAGAAGTTGAAGCCCAGGGAAGTCTATACAAAGAAACTTTCTCTCCCTGGCCACTTCTCTACCCAGTTCCCTGAGTCCCAGCCCCTTTGCCTTTTCACATTTTTACAATGACCTACTCTTTGTCCAGTTCAGCCTCTGTGTCTCTGGATATTTGTTTCCTTATGAACATTCCTATATCACATAAAATTTGTAGTTTTAAATAAATGTGTATGTTTCTCTCTTGTTGATCTGACACAATTCAATTCTGGGGCCCAGAAAAAAAAAAACTAAAGTAAACTACACGGTGGAGGTAAAATTTTGCCTCCTGTGCAATATTATCTTTAATTTGCACTGTTTAATTTTTCTCAATTGTTTCAATAATGTCCTCTACAGCAATCAACCTTTCATGGACATAATCACATGAGTTTTATCCTTCAAAATATAAAGCTAATACTATTTTCTTACTAAGAATTTGGATTGTTTACAAATACTATATTTTAAAGTTTTGGATAAATATTAATAAGTAATAAAGGTCTGCAATTTTTTCTTTGTAGTCTTTTAAGACTTGTTAAGCTCTGCAAAACAAATTCATGACAATCTATGATTTTAGAAAAATCCATGGATACATTAATATGGAAATGAGACATGAAAAAAACAAAATAACGCAAGAGCTAGGTAAAAGAATAGAAAAATGTAAAAGATAGAAACTGGGTGCTGAAGGACCATAAAAGCTGAAATGTCTTAAAATTTTGTTTGTGCTGCACATTATGCTTTGTGTACTTAATTTTACTATTTGTAAATTACTGTAGAAGGAGTATTACTATGCAGTTGTATAACTAGGGCTAACTATATTCAGTAAAATTATCTAACTAGCCTTTAGTTTCTACAGCTCATAGAAGGCAGCACTGACACGTGAACGCAAGTCATGGACTCAAGTAGATCTTCATGCTTTGTTGCTGAACCATTTCTCAAGTTAAGAGGAAGGGCTTCTGTTTAGTAGAGGAAAGAGAAAAGTCTTCCATAAGGAAGAACCTGATCTGAAGGTCATTTGACAACAAACACTGAGGCTCAATTACATGTCAATATATTGAAAGGAATTTCCAATAAATTTACCAAAGGGGTTGCATTGCTGTTGGATGAATATGGAAGAAAAGAAAAATTAGAAGTTGTAGCTTGTGTTTTCAAGAACACATTAGGTTCTGTAATTTTAAACGGATGTAAGTATACAGATCCTGGGCAAAGTTTTCCGATTAGATACTGTATGTAAAATTTGTGCAATTAGAAAGGGGAAGAATTAATCATTAGGAATACTTTCAGATTCACTGAGTACAAGTCATTATGACTAAGCTAATTATTCTTCTTCTGTATTTGAATTTACCTTGATATTTGCCTAAGTTTTTAGTTGAGTGAATGCCTGACCACTGTTTAGTTATTGGGGTGTGCCCATCGCGTGATTGTGGGTACTGCAAGGGATGAGAGAATAATATACAAAGAACAAGGAATAAAGAAATAAGAACAAATGGTAGTTTATTACTTGGGAGGCTGAGAATTGTTCTTAGCTCTCTCCTGGCTAAGGCCACCTGATCTAAGCTCTGTCCTGGCTAACACCAAGATCTCTGGATTAGTCAGCATTTATGATTATACAGCATTGCAAGGGGGTCATAAAAGCAGATTTAGGAAATAGCAGAACCAATGCACTAATGAGCCAGGCTGTAAAAGGGAGGAACACTGCTTTCTTGTGAAAGACAGGTTAGAGTTAAGCCACCTGTGTTATCTTGTAGGTCATAGGTAACAAGCCACCTGCATTATCTTAGCTAATGTTTGATCTTGGAGAATGGCTGCACAGAGTCATAATCCCTCAGCTGTAGTGTTTCCTTGTTATTAGAGACATCACAATCTCATTGATCACTGAGATCTCAACTGTGACTGTTAGCATACGGAAGTCTGTCTCCGTAATCACCTGAAGGCTCACTTAGCAAGTCCCACTTAGGCCTTGAAATGACTCAGAATTTTAATAAATAGCCAAATTTATTAGCCAAAACAATAATATCTAAAGCCCGCTCAGTGAGATTTCAAGCTGCAGTTTTTCGTAGAGCTTAGTAGATAAGAAAAGACGTGTGGGTAGTAGAAAGAAGATTACAGAGATATTTGTTCAAAATATTTTAATCTATAATATGAATAAAGATATTGAACACATTTTATAAAATTTGAAAATAACATGAAATGGCTATAGTTTAGTAATAAAATCTAAATGAATTTTAATGTAACAGAGAAATCACCCCTGTAAGATGACTTGATAGTGAGTAATATTCACTCTTGCATTTGTTCCTACAGGTTAAAGAAAGTAATAATTTGATTTGGCAGCAATACTAGAAAGTGAGGAGACATGGCATCTAAATAACAGTATCTGATGTCAGTCTCAACTTTCTGCAATGTATTGGTGCTAGTACCAACCCATTTAGCCTATATTAACAAAATGGTAGCTTTTAAATTTTAATGTTAATTGAAAGTGTTACCATGCTATTACAGTTGTAGAATTTCTGAATTAGTGAGATGAGTTCAAAATAAAAACCTTTCTTATTGCAGAGCTATTAAGAAAATGGAATGAAATGAAATTATTTTGGAGGCTATGTATTTTCACTTGTTATAGTGCTAAAAAATCCAAACTCTGTTGAGAATATATCTAAATAAATGATTCACACATAGCAAGGGTATATAATCCATTATTTCAAATACTGTAGATGAAGCCACTTATGTATATTTGGTATGTTATTTAGATGATTAAATCAGCATAGTATAAGCCAGGAGTTCTCCACATTTAGGCCTTAGGACCCCATCACACTTTCAAATGTTATAAAATACTTTAAATAAATGTTAAAGGTGGATTGTAACAATATTAACCACATACAAATTAAAAGAAATATTTTGAAATTATGTATTAATTTAATTAAACAGAATAATAAGCATATTTAATGTAAGTAACATTTTATGAAAATAGCTACATTTTTCAAAAAGTTTAGTAACAGCAGCAATATTTGCAAATCTGTTTATGGCTAAGTCATGAGAAGAAAGCTGGATTATCATACCTGCCTCCTTATTTAAGCCCTTATCCATTATCCAAAACCATTGTTTTGGTTGAAATATATAAAAAAAATCTAGGCACACAAAATTATACAGATAGAAAAGAGAGAAATATTTTAATACCATTTCCATAATTTTGTAAATTCTTCTTTGATTCTATTCCAAAACTCAACAAATAATGGTCTATTAAAGATTATTCTCAATATGTAATTTTAAAATATCAATGAATTTTGTTATAGTAAAATTCATTGATCTGTCTTTGCACTTTAAAATATATATATATTCCACATAAAAATTTATACACCTTGCATCCTTCATTTAGAAAATATTGATATACTAATTTATGAGGATCTTCTTGATGTTGATATATTTCATTAGAAATCACATTTATTAATGTTACTACACTACAGAAAAATCTGTAAGTATTAGGAAGCTATGAAGTTCACAGCAATGGGTAAAACATTTTTAAATCTAATTTGACCTTCAAGTTCAAATTTTATTTTTTGACAACAAATTTTGTCAGTAGTTTTCCTTGAAGTTACAGTATCACTCCATTCATTTTTTGAGAAAATGTCTGCAAAACACCTAAATGTGAATAAGTTTGTATGAATATCATTTTTTGAGAAAATAGTAGCATTTTATAAAAAGTGGTCATTTCAGTTTATTACTGAAATAATTGCTGTTTTTAGGGCCTCTGTCATACTATAATACTTAGCAGAAGGGTGTTATATGTACTTCATATTTAGTCATAAAGAGTGATAAAAAGATTTATATTCACAGGTAGAAATTCTTTAAACTAATATTTTTAATGTTTTATTAAGTGTAATCTTAAACTGCTTTTGTTTTCCTGAAAATGGGTGGTAATGAAGAATATAATTACTAGTATACTGTGATGCTACTGTCTTCATTCCCCCTCTTGTCTGTCTTTTTCTCTTGGACTAGTAATGCAATTAGCATACATTTTAAAAAGTAACTAATGTCATAGCATTAGTATGCAAGTAA